ACTATGATAAAAGAAGCCCATATTTTTTCCAAGTTTGACCTCAAATTTGGATTCTAGCAATTAGGCATTGACCCTACTGACAGATACAAAATTGCTTTCTGTATACCAATAGAAAGGAATGCCCTTTGGGCTTAAGACAACCCCATCACTATTCCAAAAATCCATGACAAAAATCTTTGAGCCCCTACTAGACAGAGCAATCGTATACATTGATGATATTTTATTGTTCTCACAAGACATGACTCCCACAAACAGTTATTGGATCAATTTTTTGAAATAGCCCATCAACATAGAATTATGCTCTCAGAGAAAAAGATCCACTTGGCCCAAGAAGAAATCAACTTTTTGGGAATGCACTTCTGTCATGGCTCTTATCAACCTCAACCTCACATTGTTGAGGAACTTCTCAACTTCCCGGATGAAAATCTGACCGTCAAGCAGATCCAATAATTTCTCGGGATAGTAAATTACATTAGAGAATTCATCCCTAATGCTGCCAAGTGCACAAGTCCCTTATCTAAGCTCTTAAAGAAGAATTCACCTCCATGGGGACCAGAACAGACCAGAGCCATTAAAGAATTGAAAAAAATAGCACAGTCACCTCCAACTCTAACTCTAAAGATTTCAAGCAATAGAAAAAGAATACTGCAAACTGATGCCAATGATGAATACTGGGGAGCAGTACTCATTGATGAAGACAATGGAAGAAGGTACTATTGTGGTCATGCCAGCAGACAATTCAAGGATGCCGAGAAACATTACCACACCACATTCAAGGAAGCCTTAGCTGTCAATAACGGAATAAAGAAGTTTGACTTCCATCTTAGAGGACACCACTTTGAAGTACAGATGGACAACTCTTCATTCCCGAAGATCTTAGAGTTCAAGAACAAGATGTCTCCTAATCCTCAGATTCTCCAGCTTATAGACTGGTTTCCAGGTATGATTTTACTGTTAAGCACATTAAAGGAAATCTAAACACAGTCCCTGACTTTTTGTCCAGATCCAAAAAGATTGTCCAATTAATAGTTGACACCCATAGTCTTTCCCTTATCTTTATGGTCAAACCTCTCTCCAACAAAGCCAAGACCATCAAAGTCTATCCACCTGGTTTAAACCCAACTACACCAGCCGATATTCTCTATTATTCTAAAACTTGTTATTTTTACTTTTTACATGAGACCATGAGATATAAGATAATCTCAGCTTCAACGTTTAACCCTGATATTCCCTTTGGGGGAATCTTTGAACTATTTTGTGAACCCGGTTGGGATCTTTGCGAACCCACACTTTGGACCATTTGGTGCGATAATGTTCAATACTCCATTCCCATCGCACTAAAAACACAAACAGCTTATAACATTTTGACAAATCCCTACAAGGACAAGTTCCACTTCTGGACATTACTCGAGTGGTTTTCTCCAATACCCTGGTGGAGACAAAAGCTCAAGGAGGTTCTAGATTGTCAAAGACAGAAAGGAGTTACTGAAGACTCTCTCAAGAATTTGACGTCAATCTTCATAATCCACCGTCCATACTTCTTAAATTCAGCAGGACAACTATGGTCAAGAAATGAAGCTTATCTTTGGGCTAGCTTTGAAACTTATCCACTTGATAAAAGTTACCGAGCACAACTGGCACATCACCTCTGTGAAGTAAGCCATTACTAGCACAAGCCAGTGGACCCCAACATCGCCAGCTTATCCCAGAGACCACCTGATTCATATCCTATGGATAAGATCATTCCAAAAGAAGACAAATCTCAAGAAATAAGATTTTTCAAATCAAGGGCAGAAATGAATGTCCCTGATGAAGCTTTCCAAAAGGTTGAAGACCTAGCGGATAATCTCAATGAAGAAATGATGATGCACAAGAAGATGTACCCCTACTAAGACCCGCTACATGGAAGCATGACAAGAAGTGAGGCCTAACAGATGAATTATTTTGGTTCAACCCGATCTGACTAAAGTAAAGGTTTTAGTTAATGGTTGTCATCATGACATGCTACTAAAGCACGATTCCCTTATCTTTACATGTGTCTATTGCGATCACCGCAAACGTGTTAAGGAAGATAAGTCCGGATCAACTTTACCTTTTCATGAAAAGATAAGACATCATTTTCTCTTACTCCACAATAATTAGAAACCCATCCAGTTCACAGAAGCAACATTTAGAAGATCCGTAAATGGCACTGTCAGAACCATCTTCAAGAATCCAGAAGATGTTCCAAATTCTAGCACATCCATATTCCAGTCAATGATGATAACGCGTAATACATGTCTAACTGAACATTTTTTTAACTTGTGAATTATCTTGTACTCCTCCTTCACCAAATACTCATCTTCTACATCGTACTCGTCTTTCATCTTATATTTATCTTACACGTTGAATAAATTTGTGATGGAGAAAGATACTTTGTGAAAGAAAGAGACAATTGAATGAGGAGAGTCGAAGGAGAGAGAGAAGATGTGAACTTACTACATAATTTCAGCTAGATATCGCGAACAACCCATTCAAAAAAAAAATACTAAGGAGAAGGGGAGAAGAAAAGAGAAAAAATAAAATGAAAAATTTGAATATAAAGGAAAAATACGACGAGATATACGATGACAATTATTTTATAATCATTTTCGTATATACATACAACAATGATTATAAATGAACCGTTATTAAAAAGTTAAATATACGATAATAATTTTTTTATAACCCATCCTGTGTTAAATATATTAACAATTATAAAATAATCATCATCATACATAAGATAAGATGACGATTATAAATAAATAATTCTTAAAAATTAAAAATAAATTTTAAGTTGTCATCGCATCTTCTAGTCAACAGTTATATAATTCTCGTTAAAATGTGTTATTTTTTATTAATTTTTTCTAATAATATAAGAGTTGTTAACTTAATTATTATCTCACTCTTTTAAAAAAATATTTAAAAAAATCTTTTGAGTAATTACTAACTTAAACATTTAAAAAATATTTGAAAGAGGATTTTTCTCTTGTTAAATCAAAGGTTTGATAGCTATTCTAAAAACTGTCAATCTCGGAGGAACATCTCCAATTAAATCGAGTCCAATGAATTCTCTAACCGCTCGTCTAACTCGATAAAATATAATTAAAAAAATTCATTAATAATTGAATTTGAATTTATTTATTTATTAATTCCTAAAATAATACTTAGACTAACCATCATTAAATTTAATTAATTTAGTTTAAATTAGATATAATAAACTTAACCATTCAAATTAATTTAAAAAGGTGAACACATGTAATTTTATAATTAAAGTTTATTTTAAAATATTTTTAATCTAATATTTCATCATAGAAAAAAACTAAAAAATGAAAATTGTGATAGAAAACTATAATAATATAAATGTATGTAAAAATTAGAAATATAAAAATATAGAATTAATATAAAAAGTGTAATTCCTTGTTATATATAAAAGTTTATCTGATTCTTACAAAATTACTTAAAGTGAAAAATCATTTTCAATTCATTTAAGTAACGAAGAAAAAATTAAAATGTGAATTTTACTCTTTTGCAATTTCATATATTATTAGAAAATAATTTTTTTTTACAAATTTAGCTAAAAAAGAAAAATTATATTATAAAATATTTTTATTATTTTTTATTTTGATAAAAAATTCTTAGTATTCTCTTATAAATTTTATCTTAAGAGTGAATATTAAAATAATTTATATTTTTTTTCTTTTAATATTCTAAAGTGTCTTTTAAAAATAAAATTGGATGCATTGAAACCAACCATTCTTCGAATATAAAAATTGATTTAACAACCTTAATATTTAATATTCGTATAAAATATAATAACAACCATTTAATATTTAAACAATAAAAGTGCATGTTATTTTCCTAAACAAATTAGTTAAAATATGTTTACACTTTCTTTCCCTTCACTTTTCGGCCACCGATGGGGGAAACTAGTACCTGCCACTGACCATTCTTAATTCAAACCCTGATCAAATTAAATAATATAGGTATTATCACTTTTATTTATATTCACATAAGCTATAGTATGTGAAAGCAAATTAAAAGATAAAATTACTTTTGTTATATATATATAACAAAAGTAATTTGTTCAAATATTTCTTTTTTACTGAAAAGATAATGAAAAGATATCAGATAAAAGTAAGAGCAATCATTCATCAGCATTGAATATTTTTAAATATCTTAATAGTTATTTTTGTTTTATTTTTTTCTATTATATCATAATCATTATAAAATTTATATACTTTTCTATATTTAGATATTATTAAAGTATTTTTGACTATAATGTATTAACAAATATAAACTATTCATAATCATTTTATATAATAATAATAGTTATTATTATTATTATTATATAATATAACGAGTTAAGAATTAGTTGTATCCTAACTCAATTAATCTTTATTTGTTATTTTGGGAGGTGTAAATGAATATTTTTCATAAAGTAATGAATTTCCAATGTGCATCATTGAAATAAAAAAATTGATATTTTGACACCTAACACTCATACAACATTAAATAAAAAAATCCTCTTTTAATATTATAATAATAATTTTAAATTATTTTTATTTTTATTAACTCATTTTATTAATATAATAATAATTGTTTTAAATTATTTTTATTTTTATAATTATTATATTAATAAAAGTGAATTGTTATATGTTTTTTGGGTTATAACTTCTGCATTGAAATAAGAAGCAATTCAACCGCTTGGTGTTTTCCACACTCAATCGCCATAATAAGGAGCGCTTAAACATAATACTAATCCAGAACAGAAGATCAATTGATGAAAAGGTGAAATATTAACTATTGTTTGCCAAGAATAAATTGATCACATAAAACCTACTGCACTCACTTAAACATCTTCATAAATTCAAAAGGCACTGGCGAAGCAAAATTTGTCTAGAAGGAATTGATCTCAACTCGGATAAAGCTAAACTCCAATATTGATTCCATCAACTTGTAATGGCTCTTGTGGATGAAATTCACTGAGGATTAGGAGGACGACTATTTGCAGCACAGACCCTAGAGCCCCATTCAAGCAATTCTTTGCTTGTATCATCCTTGTGAACAATCACCTCAATGAAGCACAAGCAATCTTTCTTGTCTCCTGTTGCTGTCTCAATTGCTTCAGTAAGTTCCTCTTCACATGTGACCTGAAATAAGAGATGCATGAATTAATAACAATCTTAACAATGAACTTTTCAGAAGAATGCATGAGAATATAAGAATACGAATGCAATTAAGAAAGTTGTTGAATGTATAAGAATTTTTTGAATGCTGAGAATCTCACCTTAGTGGTCCAGCAATTTCCTTCACCATTGTGGATTGCATCAACTAAGGCAGTGTAGTTCCAGTTCTTAATCACATTGTATGGCCCATCATGAATTTCAACTTCAATGGTGTATCCACCATTGTTTATCAGGAAGATAATGGACTTCTGCTCATTTCGTATCATGGTGGAGATATCCTGAGCTGTCACCTACAAACAAGTTAAATAAAACATTACAATTTGGTTAAGAATTGTTGAGAAAGGAAAAAACATGCATCAACTAAAAGTTAACATTGAGATTTAGAATTTTTGGTTTCGCACAAGAATATTTTCTTTTGAAGAAAATCTTGTTCGAGACGTAATCAGGTACTAAATAAAATATAAACACTTTATAGCATAGATTCGAACCATAGTGCATAACCAAGAGAAAACAATTTACTTTCGATTGAAGATATTGTTAAATAGTTATGCAAGACAAACCTGAAAGCTTCCATCACCAATGCAAGAAATCACTCTTTTCTTAGGAACAGCCTGAGCATAACCAAGAGTTGCACCAACTGACCATCCAATAGAACCATATTGCATTTGGAACTCGTACCTGTCAACAAACCTTTTCTTCAAAACTGAAAACATAGACGACTAAAAATGAAATGACGAACGCCAAAAGTGACACCTATTCAAGATACTTACCCACAATCTTTTGGCAACTTCAGCTTTTGGCAGTTAAACCAAGAGTCCCCTGTCTCAGCAATCACAGCAGTATCACCAGACAACATGTCTTGAATGTGCTTAAACAGCACATTAACCCTCAAAGGCTCTTTTGGTTCAGCCTTCAGAGGTTTTCCATCAGGGACGAATATCCTGGCATAGTTTTCATATGCCGTGTTGTTGTGCTTGAGACGCTTTCCAAGTTCACTGAGGAAGTCCTTCATGAGAACACACCCAAATGCAGGTCCATTTGAGATCACTACCCGGTTCGGCTGCACGATGATGGCCTTCTCCTTCTTGAGAAGGAGAGAGTACCCTACAGAGCTGTAGTCATTGAAAATGGGGCCAGCAAACAAGTATGCATCAGCAGATTCCACAATCTCAGCACAGAAAGAAGTGCTCACAGCACCCCAGAATGTGCCAATGAAGTGGGGGTGGTACTCAGGGACTAGTCCCTTGGCTGATGGCATGACAGCAAATGGATAACCACATGCATCAGCAAGCTCAACAAAAGCATCACATGCCTTAGCCACCCTCAGTTTTGGACCACCCACCATTACAGGTTTCACTGCCTTGTTTAGGAACGCTACTGCTGCCTCCACTGCTGCCTCCAACCCTAGCTTGTTACTCAATCTGTAAAGCACCAATGAATAAAGAAAACCAATGAGAAAATATAGACCAATTATCAGCATTTTCCATTTTAAAAACGTTAGAATAAACCACTATTTTAGTCCCGAAAGTGTAAAAATTTGTTGTGGTATTCCTCCAAAACAAGAAAATTCAAAACAAGACCTCATGCCATCAATTTAAAAATAAACATTTTCCTGTTTTTGTACTAAGCAATTTCTATCTATCTTCTCAAGTAACTGATTTCCATTGTCTCACACTTATGAAAACCAAGTTAGCTACTTTATCAAAGTAGTATAAAACATCTTACCTGGGGGACAGAGAAAATGGAACTGGCTCACGACTGAAAGTGGGGTGAGGAATGCCAGGTAAGTTGCAGCTTATGCTTATGTAAACGGGCTTGCTTTCTTTCAGACAGGTTGAGATCGCAGTGTCAATCATTTCATGAGCGTCTTCTATGTTATTGACCACAGCCTATCAAACCATGCACAAAAATCATTCATCACAATCAGAGATTCACAAAAAACTGCATTTTCTTATTTTAGAGTATGAAAGTAGACAGTAATAAACCAAAACACATAAATGTAGATTCATGTTGGGTGCATTTCACGTACATTTTTTTAAACATAAAAATATTTCAATCACGTACGTATTATAATTACTCAAGAGTCATGCAGGATAGTTCTCTAATTGATTCATAGAAATCTTTGCACCATGAAAAATAGAGGTAATTTCTTTGGTAACTTCTAACAAAAAATTTAAGAATACGTGTTCATGGGAACAGAAAGATGCAAACTTATTAAAATTTAAACACATCTGTCACATGCAGCAACACTACAATGCATCTTGGACACGTAAAAGTGAGGTAGTTAGTTTTTCTTCACAAAGATTTATGTGACTCTTTTTATGGAGATCTACGCAAAAAAAATATTTTTCTGATGCACCCTGGGTGCGCAACAGAAAAGGCCATGGCAAGAAAATATTGATGACCTAAAAAGAAAAGGATGTATGTTATAAATAATCAAACAATAAAAAAAAACTTAAATTTAAATACATTAAAAGTTGAAGCAATATGCCTAATCACACATACACAACATACATATGTGATAAATTTACTCCTTTCTAGAATAAATAAAATAATGCATCAAAAATTAATTCATTATCAGAATCGATGTTCTCTTTAATTAAATGATAATGAAAATGCTAAATATATTATTTTTAGCACTCTTTTTCCACTATAGTCTCTAAATTAACGATTAAAATAGTCTTGCTTCTAATCTATGGAACTTGCATGCAATTTAAGGTTTTTCAATAATAATAATAATAATAATAATAATAATAATAATATTATTATTATTATTATTATTTTTATTAAATGTTTCATGGATTAAAATATTTTATTAAAAATAACACCACTTTTGTAATGACTATATTTATTTACTAAAAATAAAAAATAAATGTAATTTATTTGAGAGTAAATTAGAAAAGAAAAATAATTTCTTTTGACTTACAATCATCTTGGATGAAAGGAGTTAAAAAAAAAAAAAAAAAAAAAACAAGAAAAGGTGGGTTGAGATAGTGACCTGGTAGCAGGTAACAGTTTGGAAACACCTGAGCTCTTGGCTGAAATCCGACAACCCAATGGTGTGATGCAAGATCCTGTTCGTGCCGAAGTCGTTGGTATTAGGCCCACCCACGATACAAACCAGCGGAAGGTTCTCACTGTAAGCGCCAGCGATTGCGTTGATTACACTCAGTCCCCCCACGGTGAACGTGACCACGCACGCGCCCACTCCCCGGCACCGAGCGTAGCCGTCGGCGGCGTACCCAGCGTTGAGCTCGTTGCAGCATCCGATATTGGTGAGTTGGGGCTCCGCGATGAGGTGGTCAAGAAGGGTGAGGTTAAAGTCACCTGGCACGGAGAAAATGTCCGTGACCCCCACCTGCACGAGGCGGCGCGCGAGGTGGCGGCCAAGCGTGGCCTCAGAGGAGGAGGAGACGCCGGAGTTCGTGACGGAGGAAACAGAACCGTTTGGGGGACAGCCGATGTCATTGCTGGGGGGCTTAGATGTGTCGAGGGATCCGATGTTGGTAGCCATGGTTTGAGTTTGACGAGGTTAATTTTGTGTTTCGTTGGTGATGGTGGTCTCAGAGAGAAAAGAGTGGGAATTTATAAGGGGGTGTGTGTGGGGGGTGGAATTGTGAGAGGAAGAGAAGATGGTGGATTGCATTACAAGGGGCGGTTTTCGGTTTTGCATGTTAGTTGTAAGAGCCATTTGGAATGTGAGTGAGTGGTCACAAAATCAAATTCAAACGCATAATTATAGCTCTTCTTTTTTGTTTATCTTTAATGCTTAATGTTAAAGTTTTACTTAATTAATACAAAAATATTTTTAAAAACACTATATCATTTAATATTTTATACTAATTACTTTAAAAATCATAAAAAAAAACTTTAAAAATTATACTAATTCATTAAATACAAAAGATTCAACCTTAATAAGGCAAATTTAATTTCTTACTCTTCAATTATAGTATTTCAAGGTTTTCTTTTTGTGTTTTCTTTTTTTAATATTACGTGCCAATTCTTTTATTTATTCTGGTTTTTATATTTTATTGATTTAAAATCAGAAATCTGTTATAAATTTATTTATTTTTTGTTATGGTTATGAAAAGTTGTGTATTGAGTAATTAATGGTTTTCCTCAATAAACTCGGCAAAACCAAAGCTGAACCTAAACTTTGCCAATGGTATCATACTCATAGGATCCTCTGAATGTGATTCCTGTTTGTTTCATTTGAATCCAAAAGTTCTGAAACAGAATTTTGCTTAAGGTGGTTGAAACTACATTTTTCTCACCTTTAGAGGAGAATCTTCCAGATGATACTTTTACTGTATACATTAACACAAAATTTTGAAATTGGGTTTGAAATTATAGAGAACACTAATTTCCACTATTATCTATTAATCACAAATTATTGTATATAATAAAATTTGTAAATTTTGATAATAACTACCTTAAATTTTTATGCAGTTAATAATAATTTTAAATGGTTATTGCAAAAATGTAAACATTTGTGCTTGAGTAAAAGTAGATTTTAAACCAATAATATGATCTGGTTTCGTGAGCTTAGATTAAATCAACGATTTTTTAAAATAGTTTTTTAATTTTAAAACACTTTTTATTAAAATTTTAAAATAAAATATTTTAAACATACTTAAATTATTTAATATTTAAATGATTTAATAATTTTATATATATATATACACACATACATATTTAATTAATATAATAATTAAATGAACTAAATATTAATTATATTATTATTTAATAATTTTTAATCAATGAATTAGGTTAACTCCCATACAAAATCTGTAACATAACATATACAAAAATTGAGTTATATTATATTTAACTCAATCTAGTTAAATTAATTATTCAATAAAATCCATGATCTTATTGGCGGTTGTAATAATATATTACAAAGTTATAACTTTGTGTTCTTCTATTAAGAAAAGTAAATATGTATATTGAGCATGAAAATGATTGAATTACACATTTCTCGTTAATTCTTTTCTCTTTGTTGTGGTGGGAAAAAGAAAGTCGTTAATAACTTGATGTTGTGTTTGAATGAAAATATTAATAATAAAATGTGCCACGGACAGTTAAATATGTTTTTAATTCAAAAATAAATTAATTCACTTTTAAAATCCTTTTACTTATATTTATATTCAACTTTAATATCACAACTTAAAAAATAAAAAAAAACAAACAAACTAAATAAAATTTTGAAACTAAAAGTTATTCTCGAATAAAAACCAATAATTTTTATCAATTTTAAATCGTACTACAAAAGATAACCCCAACAAATTTTATAGTGTGATTCGATTTGAATTTTAACTTATTAAACTTATTTTAAAGTTCGATTTAATTCAACATTTGTACTGTATATCTAGTTATACAATGAAAAGTATAATTTTTTATTAAATATTATTTCAATGTATAATCGAATATAACTTAGTGTTTTACTTTCTAGTATTTATTAAATAACAATGTATTTAGATAAGTATCAAATATTTTGACCAATTATTTATTTAAATAACTCAACATACTTTAAATATAAAATTAAAAAAAAAACTCAAGTAGTAGTATAAAATAATAAATAAATATGATTTACATAATTACAACAACGAAATTATGTGAAAAATAATAGAAATTTTATTATTACAGTAATTGATATCATAACTATTATAATCATTATCATTATAATATGAGTGTTATTATAACCCACTACTGAAACTATATTTATTACAATCACATTTTTATTAATATTATTATTATCATTAACATTGACAATGTCTTTGAATACCTTAAGTTTAACTTCATATAAAATTTTGAACTGAAAAATTAGAAAAGAAAGAAAATTTTGAAACTAAAAATTATTCTCAATTATTAAAAACAAAAATACGGTGGTAGTTTCTACAAATTTTGAAAGTCACTTCAAAACATAATCCCATTGTTGGATTTGAATTTTATCTAATTAAACTCATTTTTAAGTTTAACATAATTCAAAATTTGTTGTGCATATCTATTTATATATTGGAAACTACAATTTCTTCATTCAATATCATTTCAATGTATGTGCAAACATATCCATAGTCTTCTATGTACTTAATGTTTGTTCAACAACAATGTGTTTTGAATGAGTGTCCAATATTTTGACCAATTATTTATTCAAATAACTCAACTTTAAATTTAAAGATATAAACAAATTTTAAGTATTACTATAAAATGATAAATAAAAAAAATGTGATTAACGTAATTACAATGAGATTATGTGAAAATGATAGAAATTTTGTTGGTTCATTTAAATGAAAATATTTTTTAATTTAATTTCAAAGTGTAACGTGTAACCATATGAGGATGCCCATCAATGATGATATCAATTAGAATGAATCAATTCTAAAACTAATGTGATTTCCACACTCTATTCATTTCTTCAATTCTATCATTCCTTGTCTTAGGTAGAAACAAGGCAACAAAAATGGTCATGATGAATACAAATCTAGAAAAGAGGAAGAAAAAAACCAAACTTCAAGTGACAAAGCATGGTTAATTGATGACATGGCTAACAAAGTCCAACATTATCATTTTGATGTAGGATTAATGTTCTCATTGTGTCATCCATGTAAGTAACATGTCATCATTTTTTTTTTAAATAGAAAATCCTTTTTTTGGTTGGAAGTAGATGAAATGTTGAGATTATATTCAATATGTGTTCACCATCTTTATCCTTAGTGATTTTCGTCATCAATTGGTGTTACGGGACAATGTTGTTATTCAAGTTTAGTGCTTGAAGTTGTTGTTGGTTGTGGTTAAAGGAGTCCACTCGCCATTGACTTATCATACTTTCTATTCTTTTTGCTAAAAGGATAGAGTATTTGAAGATGATTTGTTAATAAATTTTTTGGTTCCACTATAGTAGGAGGTGATGTTTTTATCTAGAATAATCTATTACTTTAATATGTCTTGATTGTGTTTACATGTTTGTGGTCGATTATAATGTAATAATGTGGTCCCACTTGCCCACTCCCTTTCGACTCGATGAGTCTAAAGTTGAAAGTTAATAAAGTTTAAATACTACATCATTCTTAATCCTCTTAATGGATTGGATATAAGGAAGGATACAATTGGCAATTGATGACCTATATGTGGAGGAGATGGTTATTTTAAAGATATCTATTATCTATTAGGAGAAAAATGTGTTCTTGATTTAAGAATAATGCTCATACAATTTTCTTTGAACTTGGTTATATAATATAATTGCAAGGATTAGTTTCCTGAAGGAGAGACTGTATGGACAATTATTACAATAAAACATGTACTAATAAGAGATATATTTTGTAGAACTCGGTTGTGAGATCTATGAAATATAATAATACCAACAAGTGGTGATTATGTGTAGTAATCAGTACTACAAAGTTGAACAATAACAAAATAAACGGTGAGACAAAATTTTCAAGAAAAACAAATCTATCAATTTTTTATAATTAAATATAATTCCTTTGATTTTTTAGTGATAGACAAAAAATATCTTAGAACAACCTATTATATAATATTTTTTTATTACGTCTTCTCATAAAATTAAACTAAACTACTATAAAAGGTTTAAATATATTTTGAATCTTGTAATTATACCAAATTCAATTTTTGAACCATACTATTTTTATTTCGTTGTAGTTTTAAAATATTTCATCTTTAGTTTTTTTTTTTTTTCTAAATAGTCTTCTATTCAAATAAATCTTAACCAAAAACGATGATAAAGAACAAGAACTAAAGCACATGTCTTTTATAAAATAAAATATACACTACAACAAAAATATCAAATAGTGACCGAATTTTCGGTCACTAAATGACCAAAATCGGTCACTAACTACAATAGTGACCGAAATAGTAATCAACTCAAATCGATCACTCTTTCCTTGATTGCTTGATTTCGATGACCGAATCAATGACTCGATTCAATAACCAATTTTATTATAAACAACTGAATCGATCACTAATTTATTTTTTTTATTAATTTTAAAATAACAATAAACCTAATTAAGAAATATGAAATCCATTATATTAAAGCCCAATAGGATTGACAACATTTACAATACAAAAATACTGAAATAAATGCCTAACTTCTATATTTTGTATTAAAACCCAATAGGATTGGCAACATTTACAATACAAAAATAATGAAATAAATGCCTAACTTCTATATATTGTATTAAAGGCTAATAGGATTGGCAACATTTATAATACAAGAATACTGAAATAAATGCCTAACTTCTAAAAATCATAGAAAATAATCCACTGATCCAAATTTGACAAATTATATATCAAATTAAAGCTCTTTGAATCCGCTTTCCAACGCACTAAGCCTCATCATCAAATTCGATTTTTAGCTCGAGATATTGTCTTTGCAATAAACACATGTCATTACTGAAAAATTACTGCTGGCAGAATTCAATTGACTAGATTCAAATTCAAACTGCCCAAACCTGACATCCAAAAATTACAAAATATATATGAATGTGAAGATATGAATGTTAGCTTTCTAACCCAAAAAGAATCATTCAAAAACTCAAACCATAGCTCCAGATATCATTGATTTAGTGCATAGAAGTTAAAAGGCTTTAAAAAAAATCTGAATTAAACTAAAATGCACTAAGCCTAATTATGTCTAAGTATTAAAATCTAATCTAAAACAGTGCTACTGATCAACAAATCAGCCCAAGATAAGTGGGATTAACATCACTAAACATGCATTAAAATGCTCTTATCAACCAGCAATTACAACATCAATGATTGAGGGCACACAATGCACAACCCTAGTGTAATTGTGGCCTTTTCTTATTTTGCTAACTTGGGAACTTGGAAACTTGGAAACCTTATATTCTCATACGACAACCATTTAACTAATAACATTATATTTAATGAATACGTCAAATCTATATTTCAGGGTGGTCTTTTAGATCAGAAACACTGTTCTGACAAGTGGGGTTGCAAGGATAATTGCAATCTACATGGCTGAAAGGGCTTCGATCATAAAACCAGTCCCCTGCTGCCTTACCAATTATCTGCATAATGTCATGCATATACAAGTTAGCTTTTTATGGATATAAAAGCAAGTAATGATAACAACAATAATAATATCACACAAAAATGCTTATATTCTAGAAATGAGAGAAACGAATGCAGCATCTTACTGTATTGGCAAGATGTGGTGAGTCAGCTTTAAACCATGTCTCTGTTGATAATGTTTGACAATGGGTGAAGCAAGAGTCTATAAACATTCCTTTAGATGGAGTGTCTCCAACCACACTCACTGCCTTTTCAAATTCTTCCTTGAAACCTGAAATCACAAAACTGTACTTTCATTCAAATGGCAAAAGATGCTGACCGGGAATCACCCTTCTACAAGTTTTTAGTTTTTTTCATGTCAATGTTCTTAATTTTGTTTGTGAACAAGTTACATACATCAAGTGGTGATAGAGGCAGGTCAAATTTTACACTGCTTTCAAGGACTAATTAGAGCATAGTGAGATTCTTTTATGTGTAACATTTTTTATTATACACAAGTTATAAAGAAGGGAAACTGTTCACCTTGCAGTATACTTATTTGATCAGATGAGCAGCTTCTTAAATCAAGCTTGCAGCTATGCCATTATGTAGAGTAATTTTGGCTCAAGTTCTGATAAAAATCCTGTGAACATTACTTAACAACCAGGTATCAGACAAGACACCATCTTAAAAAACAATAATGCAGGACACCATCTCAACAAATAATAATGTTAAACAGGGAGATGAACACAATTGGTACAAGTAGCAGCCAACACAACCAAGAAACTTAACGACCCCCATTTAAACTAAACTCGTCAGAAACAACCAACATAATCAAATTGAAGCATAATGCACAATCAAATAAACGGAATGAAACCGCACTGGAACCACACGCCTCCACTTGGATACAACCACGCTAACCAACATTTAACATATCCCACTCAGAAACAACAACATTAAGCAAAGGGGTCAAAATCAACAAGGTTAAACCATCAGAAACAAAACCCTCAATCAGAAATGCAATACTAGGCGGAAACTTAAAACAAATCAAGCCAAACAGAGACCCAAAACATGGATCCCGATCCTCAAGTTCAACCTCTACAAGGAGTTTGGCCCGCGGCTTCTGCTTTGAGGAAAGGACTCGGCACTGTTCCGAGGATGCCACCCACGATAGTCGCGACGTGAATGGGAAGGTGGGTCACAGAGAGGTGCGACTGGGGGCGTAGATTGCGTTCGCTGTGGGGTTGTCGAGGTATGGTTCGTAGTGGCGCGGTTGAGGTGGCAGCGGAGGGGAATGAGAAAGAATTTTGTGGATGAAGGCGGTCGTGTAAGTGGCTAGGGCTGGTGCAGTGGTGGCGGTTAGCTACGGTGAGATGGAGGAGCGGTGGTGATTTGTGGTGGGAAAGATTAGAGAGGCTGGAGATGGGGATGGTCGTGGTGGTGGTCCAGCGATTGTGAGGGGCTCGTGGTGGCCGTTTGGTGGTGTTGTGAGTCGCAGTGGAGGAGCTGCAGCCGGAGTTGAATAGGGGCTGCGCAGGCTCCAGTGAAGGGTTGAGAAGGGAGCTGGAGTGGTGTTGGGCGTGGTTGGAGGTGATTGGCAAGGTGCGGGTGGTGCGATAAGGCTGAAAGGGAAAATGGGAAGTGAAGGTGCAGGGAGAGTGGGGCCTGCTACGCGGGGAAAAAGAGGGATTGAGGAAGAGTGGAAGTAGGGATCTAGGGGGATCGGTGAGACGAAATGAAGGTGATTACCCAAAATTTAGATTAAAATTAGGTCACTCAGGCATAACATGGGTTGGAACTTAAAAATTCTTTTATCTATTTTATAAAAGTAATTATTATATATATTTTTTATTTTATAAAAATAATTAATAAAAGAATTTTTTTTTTGTAGGTGTAAAAATGTTGTAGGAGAAATTATATTTTTTTCAATCATATATTTTTTTCTTCTTTTTTTTTTAATTAAGAAAAATGAAATAATTATTTTTTTATTTTTTTAACCATTCTTTTTTTCTTTTTTCATATTTTAAGAATAAATGTTATTATTCATTATCATTATCTTATTTTTATCTACTGAACGAAATTGGGTGCTGACGGTGGGGAGAATGGTTAATTGGAAATGGGTCGGTGTTAGCTGTTTAGGGCGTGGCACGGATAGGGAAAAGAAGAATGGTGGATAGTGCGGTGATAACGGTGGTGACAATGAGCTAGGGTGAGATGGATGAATGTGATTATGACAAGGTGGTGCAGTGGGCGTATCTGGGTGGTTAGTTGGTGAGGGTGGCTGGACAACGGAAAATCGAGGTGCAGTGATTCAATGATGTGATGTTTACAGGGAATTTGATTTGTGGTGAAGTGAAAAATGAGATTTTTAGGTTAACTTAAAATTATGACAACTAAGTTATTGTCATGGGCTAAAACTCAAATATATATATATATATATATATATATATATATATATATATATATTTTTTTTTTTAATTTATTAATATTATCAAATTTTAGTTTAATAATTAAAAAAGTACCAATAATTTAAATTTTAATAATTCTATAAATTTATATAATTATTAATATAAATTTAATTTTTCAATAACTAATAATATTAACACATTTATTAAATTAAAATTCTTTACTTTATTGAATTATTTTAAATTTTTTTAACGGTTTTTTTCAAATAAAACAATAAAACTTAAAATTAATTTCTAATTAAATCTTCACATAATACTATATTATATTATTATGTTTAATTAAATTTTAAAATTTTAAAATTTTAAAATAAGTTCACTTAATCTTTACACTTTATATAAAAATGACTAATATAAACTTAAAATATTTATCCAACTATTAAATTATCCAAGATATTAATATAAATTTGAAATATCAATTCAGTAATTAAAATAATTTTAATTTTTTTTTATAAATATATTGAAATACATTTTTATTAATATACAAGTAATATATATATATATATATATATATATATATATATATATATATAGACTAAATTAATAATTAATTTAATGATTGATTCAGATGATCGAATGAGTGATCGAATTATTGATTTAAGTAACCGATTCAATGACTAATTTAATAATTAATTTTAAATTTTTTATTCACATGCTAAATTAAAAAATCAAATCAAATAATTATATTACTAAATTATTTAATAAGTTAGTAAACTATTTTTTTAAAATTTTTATAATGTTATTAAAAATGTTATCAATTATTTTAAATTATTAAGTAGATTTTATATTTAATATATTATTAAAATATTAAAAAAATATTTATAGAAATGAAAAATAGTCACAAATTTAGAGATTATTTGTTTAGTGACTAAAATTTTAGTCACTAAATCATTTACTAAATATAAAAAAAGAAATCAATCACTAATTCAGTTATTATTAGTAATTGATTTTTTCGATCACTAATTTCAGTCAATATTAACCATTTTACTAGTAGTGATCGAATCAATGACCGATTTGGTGACCGAATCAGTGACCAATTTTTGTGATCGAAATTTTAGTCACTAAATCGAGTCATTGATTTAGTTACTATCGATGACTGAATTTTTTAGTCACAATTAACTATTTTTCTAAGTAGTGATATTAGAAATTAAAATCATATTAAATTAAATAAAATTAGTAAAACATTAGGTGTAACATATAAAAATAAAATTTTGGTTTATATTATAGAAATATTTACTTATAATTTTGTTGAAGTTATTAAGAGATGATTATATTGGTTTATAAAATAATTTAATTTTTACACATGATTAAAATTTTAAACATCCCAAGAGTCATTATGCTTTGGTTGGCATCATCACCTAAAGTTTAACAATAGGGACAACAACAGTAAAAATTACAACGAAAACTAAAATAAATAAAGGGACCAAAATCAACTAAAGCGGATCAATTAGAATGAACCAAGTCTAAAACCAATGTGATTTCCATAGTCTATTCATTTCTTCAATTTGATCATTCCTTGTCTCGGGTAGGAACAAGGCAACAAAAATGGTTATGATGAGCACAAATCTAGCAAAGAGGAAGAAAAAATCAAACTTCAAGTGACAAAGCATGGTTAATTGATGAAATGACTAATAGAGTTGATAAACCCTTAGTCGTATAGGTTTTCAAAACTTAGTTTCCCTAAAAATGTAGTAAGACGTAAACCAAATATCAATCCAAGGAATGAAACTGCCCATTTTTCTTTTTACTAAAGAAGAAAAAAAGAAAACTAAATTGAAAACTAAAGAGAGAGCAAGAGAAAGAACCAGAATTAAGAGAACTTGAACTAGCTTCATATCAATTGAAGAATAGAATTCGGTGTGTCTTACAATGGCACGAAAATGCCTTATTTATAGGTGCAAATGTGAGTTAACTAGAGTTAAAATAAGAGACAAAGGTCAAAACTGGTTAGCGAAGAAATCAGAAGTAATACAGAAAATTATGTTAAAATATAGAAATTAGTATATTTTTGTGATTTTTCATATTTTTTCCTAAAAATTCAAAACTAATATAATATAATAGAATAAGAATCTAAAAGAATCTAATTCTATTATATTAACTAGGAAAAATACTAACAAATGGGTTGTCATGAAAAACTACATAGACTCTAACCAAGTGCACATGATTCAATTAGCTTTAAAGACTCTAAACTATGATTAATGCATCAAAACACAAGTAAAAAATTTGCTTATTCACTAGGATACAAAAAAAAAAAACTTACATAAAAATTAAAAATAAAAAAAAATCTGGAAAATTTATTAAAAAATCAAAAACAACGAAAAGAAAAATATAAATACAGACAAATAGTGGAAACAACAATAAAATACAATAAAACGCATACAAAAACAGAAAAAAGCATACAAAATCATAAAAATGTAAAAATTTAGAAAAACATTTCTAAACACAGTCCCCAAAAATTAAAATAAAAATTATGGAGTACAAAACACTACAATAAAATCGCAAATTTTCGACGGATTTTTACCGACGGATTTTTGTTCGTCAGAAAATGAGTCACTACCGATGGATATAGAATTTGGTTTTACCGATGAATATATCCGTCAAGTAAATAATAATTAGTTACCGACGGATATATCCATTGGTAAATCCGTCAACAAATTAACAATTAATTACCGATGGATATATCCGTTCAGTAAATCCGTCGATAAATTAACAATTAATTACCGACGGATATATCCGTCGGTACATCCGTCAAGTAAATTAACAATTATTTATCGACGAATATTTCCGTTGGTAAATCCATCGATAAATTAACAATTAATTACCGACTGGATATATCCGTTCGGTAAAATTATATAATAATTACTTAATATATTCTAATAAATTAATTATTCACCTAATTAAAAAATTAAATATTTTTTTATTTAATAATTTAATTTAATTATAATTAGATTAATTTATAATAATTTATTAAATTAAATAATTTAAAAAATAAATATTTAATTATATATAAATATATTTGTATATAAATATAATTTATTTGTAAATTATTATAAAAAAATTCTAGTAGCTTAGTGGTTGGAGTATTAACTCTAACTCTAAGGTACTAGCTTAGTGACCATTAATTTTGAATATTCTATTTGTATTTGGATCTTTAATCTCGATGGCTCTATGGGAGTATACTTTGACAACAATGTAAGACCCTTCCCATTTTGATCTCAACTTACCAACAAATATCTTCAATCTTGAATTATACAATATAACTTTTTGTTCTTCTTTAAATTCCTTTCTTGAAATCTTCAATCATGATACTTAACAGTTCTTAAAACTAATTACAAGTGTGTCCTACATCTAAGTATAATTAATTCTCGCATTACTTCCAAAATAAATTTTCCAATTTCGCATCACCATTTTCTCTAATTTATAAAAAAAATAGCTCTGAGTTCCAAAAATGGTCCAATTTGTGGGGATTACTCGAGCATACCGTTAATAGGACTTAGGGGTTGCATAACTTATTCTCCAAGGGTGGCTATGAGACAACTCATGAGGACCCAAACTGCAATATCTCGGGAAGAGGTCGGAGGACTGTGTTTCTTCGGAGACCCATGCACTGTTGCTAATTCGCTTGCTGTACGAAGAGCATGGGAGAAATCAGTCTTCATGGGAGATAGAGAGTTAGGAAAAGCTCGAGTAGTTGTCTCCAATGACTATGAGGAGTGGAGAAGAATTAGAGGGATGTCACAACCATCCGCCTCACCTACTGCGCTTTCAAATAGTGAAGAGCTACAGACCCAAATCGATGCCTTGACCTGGAGGATAGAAATCATGGGAGCCCAGATGAGGGCCCTTGAAGAAAGAGAGCAAGAATTTATCCTCACCATAGACGATCTACAAAGGCAATGCAAGAAGAAAGATCACAAGATAGAGCGCCTTAAGGATCAATGTGTTGATTCTAATGAGCAAGTTATCTGAGCATCCAAAACTGCCAGAATCAGCTCAAATAACCAACTTCAAGAAATAACCGCCAAATCAGCACGCCTTGAGGCCGAATGTGCAAAACAGGCTCAGACGATCAAGGAGTTGCTGCAAGACCTCACAAGGACTCGGTCTGAAATACGCCAGGAGCGGGAGGCTAACCAGAGGCTTAACAAAAGCCTTACTGAGCTGCGCTGCAAAGAAAAAGATGGATTAGCTCAGTATGGTCAGGTGCTACGAGAAAAAGACCGAGCCCTTGCAAAACTCGACGAGCTACAAGCCTTGGTCGTCCATCAAGAGGCGAAGATCAAAGAGGCTCAAAATTATAGCGAAGATATGAGCCAGGCGAT